GTATATGTATATGTATATGTATATATTGCACAAGTTATTACCATTGTAGTGCTGGATTGAAGTGTCTGGTCGGTGCAGGGCTGATTGACCTGTATTAGCACTCCTTTTTACAAACAGGGTGTAAAAGTCTTTCACTAAAGGAGCAGCTCAGCTCCTCTATAGGTCTGGTGCAGGGGGTGAAAGGTGTTATCCATTATGGATGTAAGCTTGGACAGCACCCCCCTCTCAGCTTCCTCCACCGAGTCCATAGCACATATTAGGACAGAAACGGGCTTTCTCAACAGTTTTTTTTAGTCTCCTTTTGTCCCGTGTATAGTGATGCTGTCTTACACATGGATTAAATTCTTTATATGATAACCTCCTTGTCCTGTAGAAGCGTTAAGATCTATTCATTATCTTTCAAAAACAAACGCTTAGACCTATAAAGCCTGGGATCCAGATCGAAGGTCTCCATGTTTCAGGAGTTGTGGTGGAAATGTAAACTTTATGGCCAGGTGATATTGTGCAGTCTCTCAAAAATTTGGGGTTGGCTCCAAGTTGGTCATAAACACAAACTACAGACATCTTCAGTTAATTGATACAAATTAAATAGATTTGTAAAAGAAAATTTGATAATAAAATGTCTGGTACTTTGTTTTAAAACAGAAAAAGCTGTGTTTAAATATCAGACACAAGATGTTTTAATGATTAGATTGAGTTAAATTTTCCTCTGCATATGTTTCCATAGCTCAATCAATAGCGGTGATGGATAAAAGCATGTGTCCTTTTGTTTGTGCGAGTGATAATCATTAAAGTAGAAAACTATTGAATTATTGTAGGCACAGGTTAACATGTCTAATGTTTGATTTGTTCCAAATATTGGGCTGAGTTTGATGTGTAAAAGTGACATTGTAAACTTCTTGCCCCTCAGAGGAGCGACAGAGAGGAGCTCAGATGGAAGAGGAAGGTGAGAGCTCCAAGTCACTTAATCCATCAGTCCCCGGTCAGAGAGACAAAGGTGCAGCTAGGTAAGACAAGACATGTTTGAGTGAACTAATCCAAAATCATTGCTGTTCATGACTGAATTTATGTTTTTCATTATTATTATTCTAAGGAGCCAAGGTGGCAGTGACAGCAGCGATTCAGACTCTGAGATCATTGGTCCTCCAGTGCCCTCTCAACCTGTAGCCCAGGAGGAAAATGATGAGCCTATAGGCCCCCCCCTTCCACCAGGTTATAGGGACAGCTCAGCCAACAGTGATGATGATGAAGCTGAGGCAAAAGATGATGATGACGACGACGATGATGACGACGATGATGATGATGATGTATGTGTCTTAAGCTTTCATATATCGAGTTTCCAGTGTGAATTCTTCCTCTTAATGAATAGATAATGATCTTAATCTGTTCTACCATCCTAATACAGTCACCTGGTAGTCACCATAACAGTTGACTAAAAAAATGAAACTAGAAAATAATTATTAATGTTATTCACAAAACTTATGTTTTTTGACACACAACTTTTCTTATTCTGCGATTATAGAACTTTAAAAAGAACAGAGGACCTTGTTGTTGTCGTTGGGAATTGGCGGCGTAGTGGTTAGGGCATAGAGCTTGGAATCCTGAGGTTCGAGTCCCACTCCCACAGACTTCCACTCTGGGTCCCTGGGCAAAAAGACCATTTACCCCACCCTACTTCCCGTGCGCCCCATGGTGGATGGGTTAAATGCAGAGGGTTAATTTCGTTGCTCGGCACTCTGTGACCGTGCAATGGCAATTACCGGTAAAAGCTGGAAAAGTTATGGGATGTCACAAAGACGACCACTAGGTGGCATCACCAGAACAGGCATTTACCATGTAATATTGTCCTATGTGTTTAACTTAGCTGATGTCAAATGGTTTCCAAAAATATCAACTTGTATATATATTTTTTCTAAAAAATTATGATATGAAGAAGAAACGGCTCAGGTTGGAGCAGACAGTTCAGGTCAAACACCAAACTTTGGTTATTTGCATGTAGCAACCCACAGCTCTTACATTACAAAGATTATTTATCGACAGATCTATTCTAGATTACAAAAGAAAACTTATTCAGCTCTGTGTTCCTCTATCAGAACCCAGTGAAGAAGATTCCAGACACCCATGAGATCACCTTACAGCACGGCACCAAAACAGTAAGTTTTGGTTGCATCACTCTGCTGACTATTTAAACATATTCAAATATAAAGTACTTTTATTGTGGATAGAATATTGTTAGATAACCAAATACGTATGTTTCATGCCTTGAAATAAGAAGTCCCTTTGGCTATTTAGCAAATTTGCAATAGCAGTTGCATTTATCCTTTCATTTTATTCTGGATCAGTTCTGATCCTGTTTCTTGTAGCACAGCATTTACAAAATTGAATAAAATTGAACAACCAGACAGCATTGACTTCAAACATTTGGCTTTTGGTGCTTCTCACTTTGAATGAGTCAGTTTTGAAAAGGCTAACAGAAGTTCCAGTCTGATTCTGTAGCTTTAAGATGATCTTTAATCGACGGCTAATTGCGTCCTCAGGTATCAGCTCTTGGTTTAGACCCCTCTGGAGCCCGCCTAGTGACGGGCGGATACGATTACGATGTGCGGTTCTGGGACTTTGCCGGGATGGACCAGGCTCTACAGGCTTTCCGAACCCTGCAGCCCTGTGAGTGGTATGTGGAAAATCAACACAGTTGCTCAACATGTGTTTACATTTGTTTCATGCAAACGTCAAGCATACTGACTTCATTTAGGTGTGCTTAAAAGTGTACCCTCACATAAACACGCACATGAAGGCTTGTTAGGCTTCATCGGATCTAGTGCTTACTCTGTGGAATCCCCTCTTTTCATGCAAAATGTGGCTTCCAGAAGCAGATCTTGAAGTTATGTGTGTGTTTGTGTTTACTCTGAGTTCCGCTGAACCTGCTATTAGAGATCAAATTCTTTTTTGCTTTTGGGAACCGGTGGCCTGAGCTAGATCAGGCTTCCCCTTATTAAGAAGATTTCATGCAACATTTAATATGATTACTGTGTGATCTGGTAGCCTGTTAAATTTACTGAAGTGCTGAACCTAAGTTGGAAAGCTGAGAAACAGAGTTCCACTTTCAACATAAAAGTTCCCTTTTGACATAAAACTGCAGCTTCTGAACTCTTTGAGTCTGTCGGTTTTTTACCCAACCTCTCAACTCAACCATTTCAATAACAAAAAAAAATCTTTAAATGTACCATCTGCCTCTTCATCTTATTGCTTGAGTTTGTTGTCACTCATCAAATATACAAAATAAGGGTCACCCAAGATGTGAATGTGTCTATAGCTTAATGCAACCAATATGCTAACTTTTAGAAACAAAAGCTAGAACCACAGACATACCAGCTAACATCTGCTTCATTCTGTTGCATTTGACAGTCATCAGATCAAGACCTTGCAATACAGCATCACAGGTGATGTCCTCCTGGTGGTCTCTGGCAATGCACAGGCCAAAGTGTTGGACCGGGATGGCTTTAACGTCATGGAGTGTGTGAAAGGAGACCAGTACATTGTGGATATGGCCAACACAAAGGTTTGCAAAAATAACTTTCTTAATTCATTAAGCTAAAGAAACTGTTTGAAATATCTCTATTGATGCCTTTTAGCACTGTGTTTATGTTGAAATTACATTATAGTAGTTTTTAGACCTGGCTATTCACAGTGGAAGCCCAACAAAAAAATAGATATTCGCATCAGATGATCATCATGAATAAAACAGAGTAAATGTTCTCAGATCAGACTGATGATATTTTAGAAAAAGTGCAAATATATTAAGAAGAATGTTTTGATTATTAACCATCAGCTTTATTCACAGGGCTATTATCACTGTTCAGATGAATCTTCTCTATCAAGATTGAATTACAGAAAGGTCGATTATTGGAGATGAGGTGCTAGAAGCATGTGTTTACCTTTATGTTGTGCAGTGGGTTTCTAAAGTTGATATATTATTGACCATGTGTTCCTATTTTTATAAGACCAGGGCATCATAATATCTACATCAATATTATTTTTACTAATATGGGCAACTTTAATACATTATAATATTGATAATGTTACAGATTTTCCAGCTTTCAGCAATTACAGACACAAAAATAAAAGTCTCTAAGCACTTTTATGTTTTTGTCCAAACTATTAAATACTTCAAAACCACAGGCCTGATTCTATAATGATACCCTGTTGTTGATTTTCTTAATACATTACTAATTTACATGTAGAATATGTGAAACTCCAAATGTTAAAAGATCCAATCTGTGTTTGTTTCCCCCTTTATAGTAACAGCCTTACTGAAAAGCTTCTTCCAGGTGTAATCCAGGATTGCTCTGCTCTCTGGGTAAACCCTGCAACTGTTTGATGGTAGTGGGGCATACCTTCTCCTTGTTTTGGTTACAAGTTCAATGGTCAGAGGCTAATTTTTGGGGAAAAGGGACTCCAAATGTTTTCTGGTCTGTTTTAGTTCAAATAGCTGAACTTAGAAAACAGCCCTAATTAAACATCCATGTTTGGGTTTTAGAAAGCTGTATTGGTGGTCAGCGACCATGTCTGCCAGCTGCACCATATTTAGACATGGTTTATAAAAGCCATATAAATGTGCTTGAAGTGAAGGTCCATTTATTGCAGGAAGCTGTTTTCAGGATGTTCTACATTCTTATCCTGCTCCGTCCCATCTGGAGTCGATTGGTTCAATGGAAATGCATGTTGGCATGCTAACGGTGTCTCAGTCGATTAGCCGTCTCTCATGTGGTGATCAACTCATTGCCTGTTCTCTGCCTGAGTTGACTTGTAATTACATCCCTCCTGATGGCTACTATCTGCTGAGTGGTTTGATACACAAAAGCGGATCCATGCATGCAGTTTAGATACGTTTACAAACAGAGAAACTCTGTTTATCATCATGGTGACCTTTGAAGGCAAATGGTCTTTGGGTAAATAGGATTGAATGCAAATAAACACCTTACTTTTTAGATTTTTATTTCTCTTCCTTACATCTCAGCTTGTGTCTCTCGGTCCTTTTAAATTCCCAGATCAATCAACATGACAAATAAGAAGTGCAATTTCATTGTGTGCAGTATAACAATGGGATAGGCAAAACTTTGTGTTCAAACATGCTGGTAAAGGTTCTCAGTCATCCAGGTCATAGTCATTCCAAGAAAATCTAAAACAATCCGCTGGACTTGGTTTCCGAGTTTGAGGATGTTTCGCTTCCCATCCAGGAAGCTTTTTGAATTCAAAATGACAGGATTAGCGTTGAGTTTGAGGTTAAAACCTCGCAAAGCAAAATATCTTCAAACTCGGAAATCAAGTCCTGTGGTTTTTTTCTATTTATTTTTTGGTATTAGTGTTCAAGCAGTTTGGGGTTTAAATTCTAAATTCTCTTGCTTGTTTACAAAACAAGTGTTATGCCTTAGGAGGCCTGAAATCAGTTCAAGTTCCTCACATGAGAAGAAAATAAACAGTTTTAGCTTTTAAATGTAGACCTGAAGTTTTCCTTCCAGTCTAAACTACTAAGAACTAAAAATTCCCTGTTTACACCTGATGACTAGCATGATTAACAACCCCTGTCTTATATAATTTGTTTAGATTAAAATTACCAAAATCTATTAGTTGTTCTTGGCAACATTCAGCGTTTTAAATGTCCTCCATGTTGTTTCTGGCTGCCCACTCTGTGACTTCTCTGATAATATTAGATTAGCTTGACAACATTGATGTGGCAGCTTTGATTTTGTTTTCTTTTTTTCGGATAAATGTCAATAAATCCTGATCATCATCCATCTGTGTGTTTAGCCTGTCGCAACTGGCCCAGGTTTAAAAACTTTCATTATCTGCTCTTCTTTTTTATCCAGGGACACACAGCTATGCTGAACAGTGGCTGCTGGCATCCTAAGATGAAAGAAGAGTTCATGACCTGCTCGTATGACGGGTGAGTTTTTAAATCTGCAATGAGCAGAAAGCTTCACTTCCCATTATCTTTTTTTTTCTTTCTCTAAATTCCTCATAAAGTGTAATTGCCAGACTGTTGTCATTCAGATAAATGTTTGTTAGTCAGCGCTTGTGCAATGCTATCTTAGATATTCATTTATTCACGTTTCTTAAAGAGGTAATTTTCCTTGCTACGCTCTCTTTGGTGAACCCCAGTCCCATCAAAATCCTTAAATGTGGTTTTTTTAGACTTTTGTCATTATTAAAGATTTTAACTGATTTTTTATCTATTAATAGGAACTGAATTAGCAGGAAGAAATAAGCTGACATCTGTACATATTTTTTTATTTTTGTATCAAAACACAAAATTTAATTCCTGTAACAATTATTTGAAAATAAATGAAATGAGAATTAAGAAATTTTCATTCATTAAAAAAACTTTTTTGTCAGATAATCTATTACTTTTTGAAGTGAATGATTATTTATGGTAATTACTGTAATAATAGTTTGTGGAGCTTGTGTGGTATGACAGACAAAAGACTAAATAACTTTGAATAAGGAAAATGTATTAAATGATAAAGGAATCATTTAAAAAATGTTGATACATACAGGGTGGTGGCAATAACAAACAGTAAGGTTTGAATAATCTGTCCAGAAAATGTCAAGATAAACTTAACACCCAAGTCCCCCGAAAGAAAACACACACGCAGGAAAAGAGCCCAAGTATTTTTTTAGTTTTACTTTTGTCTTTGATTCTCTCCTCAAAGGTTTAGTTTAGATTTGTTTGTGGTTCAGTTCCTAATCCTTGTTTGTTTTCAAAAGTTGAGCTTTTCTCTGTTATAATTGAACAACTAAAAAAAAATTAAGGCTATAATCCAAGGACTGGGGAGGATAGAAAATGAAAGTTGATCCTATCAGCCCGCAATCAAATGGCTCTGGGTTCAGTCCATAGAAGAAGAAAAAAAAAAAGCCCTGACATGTAAACAAGCTTTGCTGAATAACAAAATACTAAAGTTAACAAAAGTGTTCTGCAGCCAAATTCAGCATATAAAGAGAGAAAAGTAACAAGCTAAACTCACCACTGAGAGGAAATGATTCATTTGTGGGTATTTTAGGTCTACAAAGTAACTGGAAGATGCTCAGAGCCTAGACCAGATTCCAAGATGCACCGAGGGCAAAAAGTAGTATGTTTCACATGATGAGGGGGCATAAACCTTTTGTGGACCTGTCATTTGTGATCTACAACTTTCCAGGTATCTGGAGTATAAATAGGACTAGAATGAGGTTTATTTATTTCCTCCAATGTTTTTTTTGCTGCTGTGCACACTAAAGGCTGATTTATACTCAGGAACCAGGTCGTCTGCGTGTTTGTCGCATTGAATGCAAATGTGCCCCCGCCCCTGCCGCAGACACTCTGGTGCATCTCCCCACAATTGTAGGTGACCAGAGACAGTGCCGCAGACAGGATGCCTCTGATTGGTCAAATCTATATCCGCTCTACGCTGTGTGTTTTTCCTGTTTGGTAACTTACTGGCTTGTTATGTTTGTATGACCGCCATTGCTGAAAACGACTATTTGTGAAGTTGGACCAGCTAGAAGAGCGAGGTGCGTGAGAACGCTGGGACTGTTTTTCTACCTGGATTCCCGCTCTTTCTCGCCCTCATGTTCCTCCGTTGTCACACAGACTTGCCCCCACTTCCTCATCGCCTCACCCGTATCTAGACCCATAGTTAGTTCCTGATTTTTCCCTCCTGCGTTGTGGCGTGAAATAACATAGCACAGACCGCGCTTCAGTATTGGTACCTACGACAATTTCACTGCGACACACTGCTGCAGAGAGTATAACCAGTGCTTAAGCAGGAGGATGAATGGAAAATCCACAAATTCACCTTCAAAGAAGCAGAAAAGTGTTTTCAAATTGAAAAAGTCATAACAACCTTCAGGCCCCACAAACATTTTCTTTTAAGAGATGCCTACCATGACAAACATAAACACTTGGAGTTTGATTAAACTCTCCAGGGTTGTATCTGTTGCTATATGGCTCAAGGTATTACATGGCTTCATGAAATCTTTGAAATACCTTAATATTCATTAATAGACTCTAGTCGGGACCTGGACATGAGTTACCATCCTGGTTATCACCTAGATCAGGCATCCCCAAAGTCGGTCCTCGAGGGACTTTGTCCTGCAGATTTTAGAGGTTTCCCTGCTCCAGCACAGCTGATTTACATTCATAGTTGATTAACAGGCTTTTGCTGAACTGCAATAATCAGAATCAGCTGTGCTAAAGCAGAGAAACCTCTAATATCTGCAGGACAACGGCCCTCGAGGGGATGCCTGACCTAGATGATGACATCAAAACTTACATTTCTATTTTGGTGCGAAAATGCTTCCCCAGATGCAAAAATAATGGAGCGTTCTAGTTGCCATCACTATCCCAAACCTGAATCCTGTGCTAAGCTTAATAGACTGCAGAGAAAACACTAACAATTTAGGATACTAGTTTATTGAACTCACCATGGGAAAAACTTTTCATAGAAATCTGTTTGAATCCTGTTAGGATGCAAATTAAAGTAGACAAATGGCTGTTGGTGTGATTGTGTAGAAAAACTATTGCTGGAGAAATATGCAAAATGTCAAATGAAAGGAATTCTAATGACGATATAAAGATTAATGATGTTTGCTCCAAATGAGTATAAAGTAATGAAGGACTAAGAGCTCTTCAAAGAACATTTTCTTCCCCCTAATAAAAAATGTCCTCAAAGTAATCGTTGGACTGAGACCATGATGCTACAATGACGGATATGTTTATTTTTCAGCTCTTAGAGCCTACAAGTGTGGCCATTTCTGTAGATTAAACTAATATGCTGGGAGAGACTCTGTAGCTGTAGGGGAACAGAAATATTTGAGCATCAACATGTGCTAAAGGAACAGTGATGAGACCAGGTGAGTGTGACAGACTGCAGTGCAGATATTTAGGGTTATCACCATTAGGTGGAAAGGAGGTTCACGCCACAGCCGTGCTGTTTACCCGTGTAACTGCTCCCCCAGATGTGGCTGTAGGTTTTTTTAGCTCTTACTGGGTCTCTGGAAATCCTCTGCTGGCACGTTAGCGCTGGGTGTTGCCCCCGGCCAGCTCACAGGAGATCAACAGTGAGGAGCGCATAGGGAGCCATTCACAGAAAGAGAGCAGCTGCATGTGGGAACGCTTCCTCGCAGCAGAGCGCGGCACCACAAGCTGAGCTTGTAGATGGGCGGAGCGCTATTTAATTTAGCTGCAATCATTTCTAGTTATTTTGCTTTCATTTTAGTTGTTTATGTTTTAAACCACACAGGTGGAAATAGATGATAAAATATAGTAGCTTTCTTTGTTTGTCTTGCTTCTTTCTTCTGAACTTAGAACTGTAGGACTGGAAATGCTCCTTTTCCATTTTTTAAAAGCATTTAAAAGTATTTGTAGACATTTTATAAGATAACTGAATTTTTTTTTTCCATTTGAACCTTGTTTGTAATGGTCAAATCATCAGAATATGTTCCTGAGGCAGGTTTTTTTTAAAAGTAGCAGAAAATAAAGTAAGGCACCTGAGTTGAATGAAAGCGAGAAATCAGCTGGGGTTAAAGTGGTTCCTGAAAGGTTGAATAAAGGCCACTAAATCAGGTTAATTGGAAGCAGGCCCAGGTACTTAGGCTTGTCATGTACCCTCTTTAAGCAATCCATGTTGTTGAACACTGAAGCTATTGATCCTCTTTAGGAAATGGAAAGAAAGTGTTGCGTTTACTGACCTCTGCAAAGTCTGGCTACTGCTGAGATATTATGTTTTCCCCAACATATCTTTTTCTTTGGTTAAACACTCAGTTGACAGAATGTTATGAAGTTGATGAAAGAACTGTAAAAATGAGGTACTATCTGATATCTGATCACAATAAATACTGTAGAGTAATTGTTGGTCTGTTTTCACATCCTCCAGGAAAGTCAAGCAGCTCTCACTTTATTGCTCCCATTCGAGGCATTTTCACAGATGAACACTGGAGATGTTGAGGAGAATGAGCGTATCATTCAGTGTGGAGTTTTTCCGAAGCTGCTGCCCACACTTGTAACATTTGAGACTCAAGAAATGTTCACACAGCTGGAGGACCCAGAACAGGGCTGAAGGGATCATGTTCTTTGGGCATCCGGAAAGAGAAACAGGAATGATTCGGAATTTTAGTCAGCTTGTTTGTTTTTCAGCCAGGAAAGGCTCTCCACTCTTTATGTTTTAGATCTGAGATCTCTAAATGCACTCCACAGATTAACAGGATCCTACTAATAACCCAATTCTTTGGTTTCAGGTTTTCTGAAGCAGGAAGCAGCATCTTATCTTGGGAAGAGTAGTTTAAGGCTCCTGCTTTAGGTGTTTTTCTTTTGCCAGAAAACTCGTTTAAATAGATGAGTCATCAATATGCGTCGATAGAATCAAAAGGATCGGATATACTTGAGGGGGGGCACATCTAAAGATGTATTTATACTCCATTTTTAAACACAACGATCTATATGGGCAGAGCCCTCTGTCATTAAGGAGTTTGTAAATGGATAGGGAAGCGCAACAAAACGAGGTTTAGATGTAACTAGTGATAATCAGTGAAAGTAGGGGAGTCGATGACAAAATGCTGTAATTTCTTCATCCACATTCTGCGATTTATTAGTGGTTTTAGTGGTTTTATGTGGTTTTATGTGGATTTATTAGCCACATAAAACCACTTCTGTTTTTGCTATTCCCATTTTATTACTCTTTCTGAGAAATTTGATGATGAAGATTTGCATAGACTGCAGCAAACACCAAAGCTGCCTGTTGACTCACGCTGATCTATAAAGGAACACAGTAAAATGTTGTAGTGTTTCCTCCTTTAGTCTACGTTGAATAATATGGACAGACATTCAAAGAATGTTTCTCGCTTACTGCTTTACCACCCATGTTTTATGATCTTCATCCATTCAGCCTGCTAACACCAATAATAGCAACG